CTGCAGCGTCTAGCTTCTGACTTTGAATGGCAGACCTTGATCAGAGTTTCCAGCTCGTCACTAAGAGCCGCAGGGGAATCCACATAGGAATCTTCAGGTTAGGCTCACCAGGGCAGATTGGCAGGTTAAGCTCATCCAGAGCTTCAGGCTAGAGACAGGTTTCCTGTGAGGCAAAACAAAGGAGAGTTAGAATCTGATCTCTCTCTAGAGACAACTAAGATTCTTTCAGTTTCTAAGGCTCTGGTTGCTAACCAAACTAAGGTCAACACTGCGGCGTCGAAGCAAGGTCTGGCAGCTGGTTATAAAGGGGAGGTGTCCTGATGAGTAGATGCGTCTCAGGTGTGCTGGAAGGGTCCAGCTCCAGGAGACCCACAGTGCACTCTGCTGGAGAAAGGTGGTACAGCTCCAGATCCCAACAGTAGAGGAGTTTTCGATAGACTTCCGGGTCAGAGCCGCAGCTTCCGGCTGGAGTGATGCCATGCTAAAGAACATCTACAAAAATGCATTAAATAAAGAAATCAGGAACAAACTTGCAACAATAGATGAACCTGCAACACTGGAAGAGCTCATTTGCATAGCCATATATCAAGATCACAGACTACGTGCTAGAGTCAAGCCCAGATCTAAGAACGCAGTTCAACCCAGCTTAGCCCAGTCCAACCCAGCTCAGCCTAGTTCAGCCCAGCTCAGTCCAGTCCTGTCCAGTCCAGCCCAGTCCAACCCAGTCCAGCTCAGTCCTGCCCAGTACAGCTCTGTACACCCCTGTTTAGTCCGTCTCAGCCCAGTTCAGTCCGTTTCAGCCCAGTTAAGGGGAAAGCCGTTCAGCTTCCGTTTTTTTACCCCTCTTCCCGTCTACGCCAGGTCAGTCTCCGCCACCACCTATTTGATCGTCAGTTAGCACCATCCATTAAGAAACTTTAAATCAGACCACAAGTCACAACCCAAACAGCCAGAGCTCCCGTTATCCATGAGTCAGACCTCTGGAATTTCTATTATGGTGAGACTGAGACTTGCCACCTCACATTGAACCAGTTAGCTTAGCATCCGAACTTAGCAGACCTGTTAGCCTTGAGTCAGAACCAGTTCACGTACCAACCAGTTTAGCGTCCGAATCCATTTCTAAACCAGTTAGCCTAGAACCTGAACCCTCTTGCACAAAAGATAGCTTGTTGCCAGAATCAGTCTGTAAACCAAAACCCATTAGCCCAGCTTCTAAGACCCTCCAACGTAAGAGACGGCGTCGCCGTAAGCCCGCTCTGAGCCGTCTAGAGACCCCTGAACCAGCTCTGAGCCGTCTAGAGACCCCTGAGCCAGTTCTGAGCTGTCTAAAGACCCCTGAGCCAGCCCTGAGCCGTCTTGAGACAGCTCTGTACCATTTAGAGACCCCTGAACCAGCTCTAAGCAGTCTAGAGACCCCTGAGCCGGTTCTGAGCCGTCTAAAGACCCCTGAGTTAGCTCTGTGCCGTCCAGAGACCCCTGAGTTGGCTCTGTGCTGTCCAGAGATCCCTGAGTTAGCTTTATGCCGTCAAGAGACCCCTGAGCAGAACTTTTAAGAGGTGTCAGAATTCGAGGTATGTGGTTTTACGCCTCCTAGGACCTCTCTGCAGGCGCCCCTGACTGCAAAGAGCCCTCTGCGAGCATCACAAGCCACTTCAGAGACTGAACCTTTGCCGCCATGGGCGGTTTCTTCCATGCTGAATTTGGAGCCACAGTTGGTGGTCTCCTCTGTTCCTGATGTGGAGCCACAGTCGGTGGTCTCCTTTGTTCCTGATTTGGAGCCACAGTCGGTGGTCTCCTCTCTTCCTGATTTGGGGCCACAGTCGGTGGTCTCTGTTCCTGATTCAGGGCCACAGTTGGTGGTCTCTGTTCCTGATTTGGGGCCACAGTCGGTGGTCTCTATTCCTGATTCGGGGCCACAGTCGGTGGTCTCCTCTGCTCCTGACTCGGAGCCGCAATCGGCGGGCTCCTCTGTTCCTGACCCGGAGCCACAATCGGCGGGCTCCTCTCTTCCTGACCCTGAGCCGCAATCGGTGGGCTCCTCTGTTCCTGATCCGGAGCCGCAATCGGCGGGCTCTTCTGTTCCTGATCCGGAGCCGCAGTCGGCGGGCTCCTCTGTTCCTGATCCGGAGCCGCAGTCAGCGGGCTCCTCTGTTCCTGTCCAGGAGCCACAGACGGCGGTCTTCTCTGTTCCTGTCCAGGAGCCGCAGTCGATGGTCTCGTCTGTTCCTGTCCAGGAGCCGCAGTTGGAGGTCTCGTCTGTTCCTGTCCAGGAGCCGCAGTCGGCGGTCTCGTCTGTTCCTGTCCAGGAACCGCAGTCGGCAGTCTCCTCTGTTCCTGTTCCTGAGCCGCAATTGGTGGCCACCTCAGTTTCAGTTCCTGAACCGCAGTCGGCGGTCACCTCTGGTCCTGTTTCTGAGTCGCAGTCGGCGATCCCTCCTGTTCCAGTTCCAGAACCGCAGTCGGCGGTCCCCCTCGGACCCTGTTCCAGAGCCGCAGTCCGCGGTCCCCTCTGAGACTGATACTGGACTGCTGAAACAGAGGCGGCGTCTTCAGCTGACGTTCCTGCAGAAACGGAGATGTCGTCCCTCTCAGAAGTTCCTGCAGCAAAGGAAACGTCGTCTTTCTCGGAGGTTCCTGCAGCAACGGAGACGTCCTCCTCCTCCGAGGTTCCTGCAGCAACGGAGACGTCCTCCTCCTCCGAGGTTCCTGCAGCATCGGAGACGTCGTCTTCCTCCGAGGTTCCTGCAACATCGGAGACGTCGTTCTCTAATGGCCCCCCTTCGTCGCCTGAACCACGGCCGGCCTCCTCAACGTCTGCCGGGCCACCAGTCCCGCGGCCGGTCTCCTGAACATCTGCCTCGCCTCCGGCCCAGCGGCCGGACTCCAGAACTTCTGCCACGTCTACGGCCCCGCAGCCGGCCCCCGGAACGTCGGCC